GAAGGTTGGGGGGCAGGGAGATTTAAGTAAATGGAGGTGAAACCATTACAACAGATATAATGAGAATGTTGACACAATGTGAAGAATGTAACCGACGTCACTGATCATTGTGTCTACACACTGTGGAATGGGAGTGGGTTTTGCTATGTATATTTTTGCCAAAAACAAAATTAACAAAAAAAGACTATACATTAAGTACAGTATATTATCAAAAAATATAAATGTTCATATTTGGTATATAAAGACATCCAGAGGAAACAAACCAAAATATTGACAGTGGCTATCTTGGCAGAGGTGTTAGGATATATTGTTTTTGTTTTGTTGTTTGATGTTTGCTTCATGATCTATTTGCCAAGCTTTCTGCATTTCTAAAAAATCTAAATTCTTAATTTAAAATTTTATTTTTAAAATTATTAAAATGACCAAAAAAACACAAACTACTTGTTCTTATAAACGACAAGGTGTAATGAGAACACTAATACCACAAGTAAAGTCAACAAGAAGTATTTATTGAGCACCTGTTGTATACCCAGCATTGTGGAAGAGGCTGAAGATCACAGAGCAGTACAGGTCGCGGTCCCTGCCTTTGAGAGGTTTACAGTTTTAGGTGGAGAGACGGGCAATAGGACACGTGGGAGCCAGGAAGAGTCTAGGCCAGGATGTTACAGGAGCTGGAAGATGTCTGGGGTCAGACCCACTAAGTGCTTCAGCGTCTCCAAGGGCTCAACTTTCAATGCCAGGAAAGACAACTCACAACCCTGCATCTCAAATCAGCCCACTTAGTGTGCCCTATCCACAGCCTCTACTCTCTGACTCCTTGTTCAGCTGCTACAGAAAGTGCAATGAAATGGGGAAAGGGTTGGGCAGATAGGGAAGATCCTCAGATGAGTTCTACACCAGCCCCCTCCCAGAAAAATCTGCCCCCAGAAAAATTACCCAATGTCATGGATTGAACTGTGTCCCCCCAAAAAAGTATCAATTTGGCTGGGCCATGATCCCCAGTATTGTGTGATCATCCACCATTTTGTCATTTGATGTGATTTTCCTATGTGTTGTAAATCCTGCCTCAATGATGTTAATGAGGGGGGATGGGCAGCAGTTGTGTTGATGAGGCAGGACTCAGTCTACGGATTGGATTGTGTCCTGAGACCGTTTCTTTTGGGATATAAGAGAGAAGCAAGCAGAGACAAGGGGACCTCATACCACCAAGAAAGCAGTGCCAGTAGCAGAGTGCATCCTTTGGACCCCGGGTTCCTGCGTGGAGAAGCTCCTAGTCCAGGGGAAGATTGATGAGAAGGACCTTTCTCCAGAGACAACAGAAAGAGAAAGACTTCCCCTGGAGCTGACACCCTGAATTTGGACTTTTAGCCTACTTTACTGTGAGGAAACAAATTTCTCTTTGTTAAAGTCATCCACTTGTGGTATTTCTGTTATAGCAGCACTAGATAACTAAGACACCCAATAAGCAAGATATACATGGGCTTACTTGTGTTGGCTTAGTAATCTGTAGTGCACAATTTCAAAGATGTGGTGAAACCCATGTAAATTGTGCACTACAGATTAGTAAATTAACACAAGTAAGCCCATGTGTACCCCGCTTACTGTAAGCCCGTGCGTACCATGTTTACTGGTTAACCTGCTCCTGTGCCCCCTCATACACATACTCTTAACAGAGAGAGATCCTTGCTCAAGGAGGCCTGTCCAACCACCTAGGGTCCCCACCCCCCGAGCTAAAAGAGGAGATGGTCGCTGCTTGAGCTGCTTGAGTTAGAACTTGGAATCCCTTCTTCAAATGTGCCCCTTCCCCATCCAGTCCACTGAGATGAGGAGAGCAGGCATCCTGGAACTGCCACCCAGAGCCGGGAGGGTACTAGAGGGAAAGAATAGAAGGAGGGGAGAGGAGCAGAAAGGGACTTGAGAGACCAGCGGGAAAAGAGCTGGGGCTCCTAAAAAAAGGCTGGGGGAGCCAGCAGGTTTGGGGATCAAACATTGAGGCTGGCCCCCCTGGAGAGGGCAGAGGGGGCCTGTGGGGAAATGAGGGTGGTTTGCTACAGGACCCTACCTTCCTGCTGCCTTCCCAGGACAGAGTAGGTTATCATGGGCCAGGAGGGTGCCAAGTCCCTAGCCCTGTTCCTAGGCTGTGCCACTTCAAGTTTACCCTTCCCAACCTTAGAGGAGGTAAGGAGACCCCAAAGTTTCTGATGATGCTCCATTCTTCTGGGCCTCTTAAAAGTGCTATCTGTTTACTTCTCAAATGATAAAGGATTTAGGTCTCAGAATTCAGGAGATGGGTGGAATTTCATAACACCCATGAGACAGTGAGTGGGGGGAGCCATGCCCCTCCAGAGGTGAGGGTGAAGGAAGAAGCAGCTGGCATGAAGCCAGTCCCCCCTTACCTCCAGAAGAGAAGACATGAAGAGCATAGGATGAGGAAGTTTTAAATAAGGATTCATATAATAAAAAATACCTGGCGCTCTGACGGGCCTACCATTCTGCTGTCTACTTATTTTCTTAAATAATTCTAATGCCAGTGGCTGGGGGTGGGGGTGGGAATCAGGGTATATACATGAGGAGGAGTTTAAATTAAAACACAAATAATAATTAAGACACACAAACTGAAGGACTACCGCATTTTCGCAAATAACACACCCACATAAATAATGCACCCACACACGTAATGCGCACGGTGTGCCTAGGAAAATAATGTGCGAGGGGATTGCACGGTTGGTAAAAAATCATACAACGTGCATGCTATTTGCGTAAAATACGGTAAGTCAAAGGACGTGGAAGGGGCCATGGGGGCCCCCTGGTTCCAGGAACGCCATGCCTCTGTGGGTGAGTTAAGGCTTCCTCTTGGAGAAGACCAGCCGACGTTTGGAGTGGTAGAAATCTGAGGAGAGAGAACAAAGGTCAGCATGTCCAGAGGAAGGGGGTACACAACAGAGCCACCCAACCAAGGCAAACCGCATAGGGGTCACTGCCAAGTACAGGGAAGAACTCTGGGAACCTCCACTCTGACTCCCAGGGATGCATTTACAGGCATTCATTTCACAGATACGATTGGTAAGTGGACCTACATCCATGGGTCTGCTCTAGAGCGAAGCAGCTCAGTACTGTAGCCTTGAGTCATACGTGATTACTTAAATTAAAATCAAATCAAATTAAAAATTCAATTCCTCAGTCACACTGTTGTTATTGTGTGCTATCAAGTGGATTCTGACTCATAGTGACCTTATATGACAGAGGAGAACTGCCCCATAGGGTTTCCTAGGCTGTAATCTTTATGGGAGCAGATTGCCAGGTCTTTTCTCCTGCTCCTGTGGAGCGGCTAGTGGGTTTGAACGGCTCTTTTTGGGGTTAGCAGCTGAGCGCTTAACCATCACACCACCAGGGCTCCTTACAGTCACACTAGTCACATGTTAAGTGTCCAACATCCTCCTGTGGCTAGTGGCTGCCACACTGGACGACATAGATACAGAACATTTCCATCCTTGCAAAGAGTTCTATTGGACAGCGCTGCTCTAGAGATTCAACTAGATAATTCATGGGAAGCGTTCTGCACAGTGTCTGGCTCATAGAAATGTTAGCTATTATTATTACATTATTACTTATTCTGATCCAGCTGCAGATTTGCTCTGGGACCCTTGGCTTCGCCTCCCTGAGCCTCAGTTTCCAGTGTAAAATGAGGATAATGCTGGCCTGGTGCTGTAAGGATTAAATGAAATGTTTTCTACAAAGGCCTTGGTCCAGGGCCTGGCATAGTGTATGCTCAGATGTTAGCATTATTCATTCATTATTTATCAAGCACCTACGGTGTGCCAGACATTGTTCTGAGTGCTGGGGATTCAGCAATGAACAAGACAGATACAGATCCCTTTCTCGTGGAGCTGATATTCTAGTGGGGGAGACAGACAATATCAAGATAGGGAAGTAGCTGTTGAGAGATAGTAAAAAGTGCTACAGAGGATAAAATAAGCAGGGAAGGGGGACAGGAAGTGTGTGTGTGTGTGTGTGTGTGTTAGGGAGGAGAAGTGAAGTTTGGATAGGGTGGCCCGGAAATCATTATCATTAATCTCCTCTCCACTGCAAACTCACTATGGAATCTTAGGCAAATTACTACCTCTCTGAGCCGTGCAGAGCCCTGGTGGTGCAGTGGTTAAGAACTCGGCTGCTAACCAAAAGGCCAGCAGTTTGAATCCACCAGCCACTGCTTGGAAACCCTAACGGGCAGTTCTAGCCTGTCCTATAGGGTCGTTATGGGTCAGAATCAACTCCACAGGAACAGGTTTGGTTTTTGGTTTTCTGAGCCTTGCTTCCTTGCCTGTAAAATGGCAGTTAAGAATGTCTTACGGCACAGGATTGCTATAAGGACTAAATAAAATCCACCTCAGAAGTTTAGCAAAGGGCCAGGCATATAATAAAACCAACCAGTTGCCATTGAGTCTGCTTCAACTCATGGCAACCCCACGTATGTCAGTGTAAAATCGTGGTCCATATGGTTTTCAAATGGCCGATTTTTCAGAAGTAGATTGCCAGGCCTTTCTTCCAAGGTGCCCCTGGGTGGACTCAAACTTCCAATCTTTCAATTAGCAACTGAGAACATTAACTGTTTGTACCACCCAGGGACTCCCGGTATTTAATAAGTTCCCAATTAATGTTAGCTAGTCAGTCATGGCTGCAGGCTTGTTGTGTGACCTCAGGCAATTCACTTCCCCTCTCCAGGCCTCTTTTCCCCTTTGCCTAATAAGCAAGAAGAATCAAACAGATTGGCTCTTTGGGTCTCAGTTATGCTGTTCCCAGTAGTACCCTCTTCCCTACACCTGTCCTCACCTGTCATGCTGGTCTGTCCCCGCTTCCGGCCCCGAGGTGCACCAGGCCCACCTGGGGACACTTCAGGCCGCTCAGGGGAATGAGGCACGAGGGTACAGGACAGCGATAGGTCCACGTGGTCCCCTTGGGCCATCCCCTGAAGCAAGACAGTTGAGGTGCAGGGCCGCTTGCCCCCTCCCAGGTCGTCCCAGGCCCCCCGAGGCCCTGGAGGCAGGTAGAACTTCGGCAGGCCAAGGCCCTGCACAGGCTCCCAGGCATAGTTGCCCTCCAGCGGTGTCTCGGTGACAAAGTCGAAGTTCCAACGTGCACGGGCCTCTTGCAAACAGTCCGCCATTAGCGCATCACAGTCTCGGCGCAGCTGCTCTTCATCAACGGGGCCGAAGAGGCGGCGACACACCTTGCTGCTGCATGGGATCTGAGGGATGTCCCCTGACGGCTCCGACATGGTGCCTGTAGCTGAGACATAAGTATGGCCCAGGTCACTAAGGAAATTGGACCCTCCCTTAGCCAGCCATGCTTTGTTGTGTGACCTCAGATGAGGCCCATCTCTAGGCCTCTCCTGCCCACACCCCTCCCAGAACATGAGGTAAGAAGGTGTCTCTGGTTTCCTCCAGCTGACTTTCCACCACTTCCTTCCCACAGGCCCTAGACCCATCAAAAGGCACTGGGTGGGCCCAGGGCTCAGGCAGCCCGACGCCTCCAAGGTCACTGGGGGAGTAGGCCACTGAAGGGTAGGTTTATGTCAACAAAGACAGGTTTACTGGAATAGCAAGGAACAGAGTCCTGTTTACCACCAGGTATTATCAGCTAAAATCAATTTGTTTTCCCCCCTGAGGTGCCCCTGGAAGGTGTGAATGCCCCAAATATGTGTGAATTGCCAGAGTCCAGCAGTTTCCCAATCCAGCCAAGAGGTCAATTCTCAAATGAATAAATAGACTGATGGCTCCTCCCACGACTGGACATTAGCAAGTCCTTGTGAGGTAACCCTGCTCTGCAACTTAAAAAAAAAACAAAAAACTGTTGCCCACACTGACTGCTCTGACAGGGATCACAGTAGAGGGTCCCGGATAGAGCTGCAGAAAAATGTAGAACAAGATTCTAACTCACAAAAAAAGGTGAGACTTACTGGCCTGACAGAGACTGGAGAAACCCCAAGAGAGTACGGCCCCTGGACACCCTTCTAGCTCAGTAATGAAGTCACTCCGGAGGTGCTGCCTTCAGCCAAAGATTAGATAGGCCCATAAAACAAAATGAGACTAAAGTACACACTAGCCCAGGGGCAAGGACTAGAAGGTGGGAAGGGACAGGAAAGCTGGTAATAGGGAATCCAAGGTCCAGATGGGAGAGTGTTGACATGTTGTGGGGTTGTTAATGTCATAAAATAATCCGTGTACTAACTGTTTAATGAGAAGGTAGCTTGTTCTGTAAACCTTCATCTAAAGTACAGAAAAAAAAGTTGCCTGTCAAGTCAATTCCAACTCACAGTATAAGTACCCCAACTCATATATAAGTACCCCGGAATTTGGGGTCGGGAAGATTTGGGTTTTAGTCCTGGCTCAACCAGTTACTTCCTAAAACTTTAGCATGTGACTTAATGTCTCTGGGCCTCAGTTTCCTCATCTGTAAATTGGTGGTGCATGAAAGTTCAAAGAGCTTGGCTGTGGAAGCATGCTCAGGCAATTGGTCGGTGAGTCCCTCCAGGGAAGCCAGATGGAACAGAGTTGAGAGACTGTATCTTCATGGTCAGAACGAGAGCTCTGGAGCCAGATTGCCTGGGTTGGAATCTAGGCTCTGCTTGGTGACCGTGGACAAGTGACTTAACCACTCTGGGCTCTAGTTGCTTTATCTGTAAAACTGGGACAGTAATAGTGAATGTCTCAGCCAGTAAGTGTTAAGGATTAACTGAGTTAATGTAGGTAACATGCTTAGACCAACACCTGGTATACTGAAGTGATTGGAAAACGGCAAGCACTGTATCTCTCTGCCTTCAGTTCTGGTTGAGCCTCCTCCTGCCTCCTCCCCATCATTCTCACTCCCCCCGCCTCGCCTCCCCCCACTACCACCAGCTATCAGCTCCTTCAGACAGCAGCTGACAGGTGCTGTGGGCTGAGGGCCTTTCCCAAGAATGTCATCAGGCGGATGGCCTGGGGCTGAGGAGGGGCTGGGCGGGACAAGGCAGGGTCATGATTTCTCCAGGGCTGAGCCACATCCTGCCAGACACATCAGGTGATCTGAAGTCTAGACACCTCACAGTCCTTGCCCTGCCCTGCGTTGCCTGCACAAGAAACCCGTTTTGCAGGCAGGGAAAACTCAGGTGGCTGGTCTACCCAGCTCCTCTCCTCCCACTTCAGGAGAGGGAAAGCTGAGGGTGAGTTTGCCCATAAGGGGAGCCCTTTTTACAGATGAGGAAACCAAGACTCAGAGAAGTTAAGTAACTTGCCCAAGGTCACTCAGCAGCCACACATCCTCGGCAGGGACTGGGTTTTTCTGGGCACAAGTCCTGATTTGCAGACTCTGAGAATGAAAGCTCTGCTGAGTGGCCTCCTGGGGCAGGAATCTGGACCCAGTGCCACATCTACTCCCTCCTCTCACGAGGAGCAGGGGTCCACAACTTCAAGTCTCAGCTGATTGGGCAGGGTGTAAAGGGCAGGTGCTCAAAGAGATACAAATCTTGCCCCCAAATCACACAACTAAAAAGGGCAAGGACCACTGCCTCATAGAAGGGTCACACAGTGCCGTGGGCAGAGCCCTCAAATAACTTTTGTCCACTCTCTTCAGGGCAGGGGCTGAGATTTATTTATGTGTTTTTACTTGCCAGGGGCTGGTCTAAGCACTTTACAAATATTAATCTTCCTAAAACATGGGTATATATTAGCTCCTTTTCACAGAAGAGGAAACCAAGGCTCAGAGATGTTAAGTAACCTGTCCCAGGTCACACAGCATACAAGTAGATTTGAAGTCATGCCTGTCTAGGATTTAAATCCAGGCCTGTTTGCCCTGAGTTCTGTGCTTTCGGCCCCTACACCCTATTCTTTCTCCAATTTTGAGGTTTCTTAACCAGATATGCCCATCAGAATTACCTGGGGTGGCTTTTTCAAAATATACATTGATGACCCTCCTTGCCTAGACCATCTTAACCCATATCGAAGTGGTTTCAAGCAAGTGTTTGGCACAGCTCCCCAAGAGACTCTGAAGGGCTCTCTTGGGGTGTCAGCGAGGGGGCACAGGAGGGCTGAAGTGGGGATTCTGAGTGTCTTGATGCCGCACTGGCACAAGGAGGAGGAGCTGGCTTTATCAGGGAGCTGGACATTCCCTGGCTTCTAGGAGCTGAAGATGGGTCCTGCAGGTACCCTCTCCCCTTCTACCACTCGTTCCCTGATGGCTCTCACGGGCCTCTCCATCCCCATCAAAATCAGCTCTCACGCCCACTATCTTAACTCCCAGCTCAGAAAAAACATAAACCCTCGTTTTACGAACAAGATTAGCTTTCCTTGTTGGCCTGTGTGTTTTAGACCAAATCCTAATGGTGACACCTCAGCAATATTTTAATCCCCAGGTAAATAGTAAGCGCTCAGTAAATACTGTTGAACCAATAGGGTACTCTTTTTAAGTGGTGATAGAGGAAGAGCGACGTTGGAGCAGCACAGCGGTAGCGGCGGGAAGGAAAGGCGGGCGAAGCCTGATTCCGTTGGAAGGTGTGTTTGCTATTTTTGCCAGGGCCGGGAGGGGGCGCTGATCTCCAGGAAATCACGCGCAGGGTGGGAGGTGCGTGGGCAGAGCCTTAAACAGCGGGAGGGACAAATTGTGATGAGTCAGTTTCCTGCAAAGCTCTCCCGCCAGCCAGAACTCCGCTTCCACTCCTGCTGCGCGTCACCCTGGGGTAGGGAAGGAGGAGATTGCGAGGGAGGGGCCGGGGGCCGCGAACACGTCACGCTAAACCGGCCCCGCTTCCTAAACCCCCACCGCTGCTGGGAAACCGCGCGCTCTTGCGCCGTCTCACACACGTACAAACACACACACACACACACACACACACGCACACACGCACGCACGCACAGGCGCGCCGAGATCTGGCCCCTCCACCTTATCTCCACGCCCAAAGCACGGGATGAGTCAGATCCCTGGAAAATAAAAATAGACGGGAACAACGAAAATAAAACCGCTCGAATGTCCTCCCCGAAACGCGACGTGGAGAGAGGGAGACAGGGAAGGAACTACCCCGGTGCCCCAAAGTACCAAACCCAGTAACAAGATTCTTTTCCGGACAAGAGGGGCGCAAGGGTCCACCGGGTGCTCAGGACAGTTCCCCAAATGACTCTGGTGGTGCCAGTGGTCCGTGGTCCGCGCTAGCCAGCTGCGCCCGAGGGTGACTCGCTCTCCTGCTCCTCTCAACCCTTTGGCCCTCGAAGAGGGAGTTTTGGGGTATGCGGGGCGGGGGGGCTCGAGTCCCTCGATGCAGATGACAGTGCGTGAGCAGCGTCCGAACCCTCGGAAGCCCAACCCCGCAAAGATGCGCCCCCTCCCCACCTCCCACCTGGGTGTGGGCTGCGCGCCCCGGCTCAGCTCTGGCCCCGGAGTCCAGCGTCCCATCCCGAGGACAGGCTGGGCGGGGTTCTCTCGGCGGCGGTGGTGGGAAAGGGGTGGGTGAGTCCCCTGCGCTTCTCCGACTGACCGAGAACCCGTACAGCACAGGACTGCGGCTCCGGGTTTCCGCGGGCGCGCCGCGCGGCAGGGGCCGGACACCAGGTTCTGGACCTCTTAGTGCCCCGGCTTCCCTCGGAACACGCTGTGCCAGCCAAGTAGGTCACTGTGCTGATGGAGGACTGCGATCGCGGAGGGGCGGGAGGCTTCTGGGGCGCCCCCGCCCCCCAGCCCGGGCGGGGTTCTGATTTCACCCAGACCGCTCCTCGGGGTCTCCTTGTCACCATGAGTCACCTCCTCATTTGTTCTTAAGGGACGTGTCCTGGCATGTTCCTGAGGGCCGGGGACACAGCCTGCGCTGACCTCAGCGCCAAGGGGGTGTCGGACACCGCGGCGTCGGGGATCTGGACCTCAGGGGCCTGGGTCCAGGAGGCACCAGTTGGATACGAAAGCCCGAGAGTCGTCCCGGGGCGGAGCCCACTTGAACCTGCTCCGCTTTCCCCGGGCGTCCCCCGCACGGCCCGCAGCGTCTGGGACCTCTTCCCCACGCCGCGAGCCAGCGGCGGCGGGGGTCGAGAGCGCTCCCCTATCGCCGCAAGCTCCTAGGGCGGCCCCACCCACGCCTTTCCTCGCCCCAGCAGGAGTTTCAGCCGGGAGAGCGCGGGCAGAGGATACCCCGTACTCGTTCCACCGCCCCCCCGCCCCCCGCCTTGAGACTCCGATACATCCCGACCCCCGTCACACGCATACTTACACTCGAGCGCGTAAAGCCCAGAGCACAGACACACGCCCGTCATTCACCTGCAGCAGAAACAAATGTGAACCCAGCACACACACACTCCTGCGGACACACACACACACGGACACATGCGGATACACACGCAGACACACTCAGTTCAGGGTCGCCGGCCAGGGGTCTGTTCTTGCCGGTTGTGTCTCCCTCACCTCGTTTGAATGTCTCGGTGTCTCTGCGAATCCGCGCCGGGCTCCGGATCTCTGAGGCAATGACTCCGACAGCCGTTCACACCTCAGCTGGTGCTGAAGTCCTCCGTCTTGATATAGCCAAGGCTCGGGCACGCCTCGGGAGGCGGGACCTGCCCCTCGGCCCACCGAGCCGCCGGGGACCGCCCTCCGCGGGAACCCAGGCGGTTCAGCGCCGGAGTCTGGGCGGGGTTCCAGGCCCGGGGACTGCTGTAGGTCTCCGAACCCTGCGAGCTGCAGGGGGCGCGTCCCCTCGCGCGCCTGGGTTTGCGCGCTCTACACATTTCTCCAGGAATTGAGCCACAAATCCGGCTTTTTCCAGTTGGAGAGTGAGTGGGCGCTCCGCAGGAGGGGGACGGCGTTGTTAGGATGAATCCCCCTCCTCCCTTCTCGCCCACCGCTGATCCACTCTAGGCAAGGACTTACCCAACACAGCTAAAAAGATCATGAGGAGTGGCATTAATAAATAATATTCCATAAATAATAAAAATTATGTACCTCACTTTGTAATTCCCAGAAAAGCCCCACTCTCCTACCGCAGTTCCCACGGAGTTCTCTCTAGACCACCTCTCCTCGAAGCACATTGGGGCAACCAGATACACTAACAAGCATCTTTGAGGCCAGACAGTATTCAATCCCCTTTATTTCAAGATGAGGAAACAGACTCAGTGAACCTAAGGGATACAAAACCGTTGCTTGTCAAGTGCCTCAGAGAAAGAGGGAACTGGGGACACTCTTCAGAAGGCCCAACATGGTCTCCAGGAAAATCGGAAAATCGAACCAACCTCCCCTCCTCTTCCTCTCCCTGCTTCTCACCTCAACAGAAGACTAACCACTGATTACAGCACATGTGATGTTTAAGAAGGGGAGAAGATCATTATGCACTTTTAAGAATTACCTATATGGGATCAAAGGGACAATAGCAACTGGAAAAATTAAATTAATAGGAATTAAATTAAATAGGAACTTAGGGGGCAGTGAGTTTATGTTAACTCAGAAATGAAGGATGAGAATGGATGCACAGCTCTGAGAATGTAATCAATGTCACTGAATTGTACATGTAGAAATGGTTGAATTAGTGTATGTTTTGCTGGGTATATTCTCAACCACACAACAAAATTTAAAAAAGAAAAAGAAGAGAAGGATTTGGTGGGTGAGTTATCTCCTGGATATTCCCCCACACACCTCCCATTTACCACGGGGGAAACTGAGGCTCCAAGAATCTAAGTGACACAACTAGGTCACACAGTTGGAACTCAGGTTTTTACCTCCTGCCATGGTTCTGCCTGATGTCTTCTCTGCTTCAGTGACTCTAGAATCAGGGGAACTCTCCAGGACCCCTCATTTCCAGGCAGCTAACTGAGGTAACACTACTGAAGGACAATTCTAGAAGTGTCCACTAGTGTTTGTGACAGATATAGAAGCAAGTGAGATGTCCAGCTGTTCCCACTCACCCTCACATTTTAGCCTTCCTTGTACCCCACCTTTGCCTCCTCCCTTCACCTGAAGTATTTGCAGTTTCTGCTTTAAAAAATATTACAAAACATGATGAACATAATTAATGTCACTGAACTGTACATGTGAAGATAGTTGAAATGGCAAACGTTTTGTTACCTATTATTTACCACAAAAAAAGAATTTTTTGTTTAAAATATTGCAGAGAATGGAGTGTAAATCTGAACACAAATCTCATTAAAAAATAGAATCCAGGCTCTTGGAAGGGCTATGATTACTGACATCTAGGGCTGTTGAGTGTCTGGAAATCTCTGCCCAGACATGCCCAGTCTTCCTCTAACGCAGCTGACCTCAGGGAACAGGCTTCCTCCTCTACTGCTAGGATGGGAGCTCCAGTAGAAGTGGGAGGGTACCGCCTCAAACCCCCTCCTCTGTCTTAACCTCAAGTCAGGCCAGAATTGTAGCTGGACCTCAGGAGGGTCCCAGAGAAGTTGAGATCCCAGGACCGCCTCCCCCTAGTGCCTGCCCCCACCTCCCTTCTACCCACATCATTCAAGTGCTGGGTTGTCAAATGTCCAGCAGAGGACAAGCACATCCTCCTACTGCCTTGAATCCCCCCAGCTTTTGGGCATTTCAAATAGACTTGACATTGTCTGTCTGTTTACTTTGGAATTTTTCTTTTTTTTTAATGAAGGCTTGTATTGAATTATTTAGAGTTTTGTGGTACTGAGCTTCACAATGAAATAATTCTTTCTGTTGTTGTTATTGGGAAGTGATTTTTTTTTTTTTTTTTGATAGCTTCTAGCTCCCTACCACCACCATAATGGAATTCAACAAATATTTAGTAATCACCTACTAAGTGTCTAGTATTGTTAAGCACATAAAAAAAAAAAATGTTTGCAGCATGTAGCCAGGCACATCCTTCAGGGAAGGATTTCTGTGTTGAAGAGGGCAAAGGAGCAGCTTGTCAGAGGTCACAAGAGCTGATTCTCACCTTGCATGCACGTGCGTGTGTGCGCACGCGCGCGCGCACACACACACACACACACACACACACACACACACCCCTGTGCCAGATCCCAAACTAATCCCAAGAAATCTACTGCAAACTATATTTTCTGTCCAGAGAAACTCAGGCCCCTGAGAGAAGACTCTGACCCATGGAGGCCAAGGTCTCCCTGGGGTCTCTGGGGGTTCTCTATCTCCTACCACCCTCTCCCACCCCAAAGTAGGTAGCCAAGGACAGAACAGTCACCAGCCTCTTCTATGCCATGGCTCAACTTGTTGGGACATGTCCCTGAGGGCCAGAGGGCTGAATGGGGCCATAGCCTGCTGCCCAGGCATGCTCCCCAGGAGGCAAGTGGCTCAAGGATGGAAGGAGGCTCAGTCTAGAAGACAGGAGACTCCAGGCCAACCCCCTATCCCCACCCAGCAGGCTCCAGATAATGGAGAGGAAAGGTGGAAAGCGCAGGCCTGAGGAAAGAGGATGTGAGGAGGGCCGCATGGTGGCTGCTGGAGCTACCCAGGAAGGGAGAGGAAGTTCTGGGTATAGTGTCACCCTTTCTCAGAAGAGGCCTGGGGAGTCCCGAACAGGGACAGCCAGCTTTCAGAGGAATTCACCTCCACCCAGGCTCCCAAGAAGTGAGACCCCAGAGAAGCAGAACAGAGATACTACATTACCGAGCAGAATAAGTAAGCCCTGCTTGTTTTTAAGAAGAATGAGATTGGGAGCCCCCACCCTGATCTGACTGGGGGCTTTATGCAACCAGCACAAGGGACTGACCATACAGTGAGGCACAGAAATTTGTGACAGAACTGGTGCCACATGAACACTTCTAGTCTCCTAGTTTACTGCCAAAGCCTGAAATTTCACCATTAGAAATTAATCCTTTGGCTTCGATTTGGTTCTTTGTTAAATAAGATCATACGGCCAAAGTGCTCAGCATAGTGAAATCACTTCATGAATTTTAGTTGTAATTATTGCTATAGTACAAACACTCTCAGAGAAGGCATCCTTTGGAGTTTAGTAATCATTTGCACTTTAGTGAGTGTCTTTGGTATGTTTCCCAGAAAACACTCTGAGGTAGAGATTTTCATGCAGGAGGTTTTTTGGAAAGTGCATTCAGGATCAACACGTATGGGAGTGTAAAGAAAACAAGATTCAGCAGAAGGAGGAATTGGGCTGTGATAAAGGCTGACCCCACTGGGAGCTCTGGAACTAGGGTGGCTCTGCAGAGTTGCTGAATTGAGGCAAGGGGGCTGTTGTGACCAGTGGCTTGTGGGGACAGAGGGGTGGCAAGGGAGCTCCCTTATCTGAGGCCAATTTCTGAAGAAGGACTTAGTTGTGAGTGTCAACAGCCAACACTTCAGACCGGGTCCTTCAGAGGGTTCTGGGTGGCACAGCTCAGTGTGAATGAGTTAATTAGATCATTTAGGGACTAACCTGTCGCCATTGAGTCGATTCTGACTCATAACAACACTATAGGACAGAGTAGAACTGCCCTATAGTGTTTCCAAGGCTGCAGTCTTCACGGAAGCAGACTGCCACATCTTTCTCCTCTGGAGAGGCTGATGAGTTCAAACTGCTGATCTTTTGGTTAGTAGCTGAGTGCTTTAACCACCAGGGTTCCTTTAGGGACTAGAAGGAGGCAAGGAAATGCTATGGACAGAGACCACCTGAGGGGCAAAGGGACCCCTGTGCTTTTGCTCGTATTATTCTTCCTGGAATGAGTTTCCCTGATCAACCTACCCCACCTCCACTCCTTTCTCTGCCTGTTGAACTCCTTCTGATCCTTTGTGATCCAACCCACATGACCCCTTGGCGTTGAAGCCTTCTAGGGCTCTTTTCGGCTCCCAGGGCTCCTGGGGAGCAAGCCTCTGAGCTGTGCTTTGCTGGCCTGCTTGGTGTTCATGCTTAGTGCATCCTTGGAGCTGGGGACGTGGGGGCGCTGAGCTCATATTTTATTTATCTTTGTACCTTTGAGCCCTAACATCCTCAGCCTGGAGCTCAGGTAATATTTATGCAAGGACCATTTCTGGCCTGTACTCTGAGGTTAGGCTTCAGTGCCCCTGTTTCTGAGCCCTCTCTTTTATATTCATCCATCCATTCATTCGTTTAAAAAATAATAACACCCACTGCGTCATCCCCATGATCAGTTTCGGATCAGACCGTTGTGATTTGTAAGGTTTTCGTTCTTAACCTGAGAATTAGAACATTGCAAATCACTGACACCTTCCTGTGTATTCCTCTCCTATCCTGTCCCCTCCCTTCCTTGCCCTGAAGTAAACAATATCTTGAATGTTTTGCTTAACTTTCCTTTGTTTTAAATAGTTTTATCACATGTGGCCAAGAGAGTGATAATAAAAAATAAAAAATAAAAAATAAAAAAACAGTTGCCAACGAGTTGATTACAACTCATAGTGACCCTATAGGACAGAGTGAACTGCCCCACAGCGTTTCCAAGAAGCAGCTGGTGGATTTGAACTGCCGACCTTTTGGTTAGCAGCTGAGCTCTTAACCACTGTGCCACCAGGGCTCCAAGACAGTAATGCTCACCATTTTTCTATGTGCTCTCCTACATTTCCCAGCTCCCCTCCTTGTAGTTAGGTGGGGCCATGTGAC